TTGGTGGACGGATTACCCTTATTAATTCAGTGCTATCCAGTCTTCCTGTGTTCTGGATGTCGGTGTATCTCATCCCAAAAGGTACGATTCTTTCACTTGATAAAATTCGTAGAGGTTTTTTATGGGGTGGGGCTGCAGGAGAAAAGAAAATAAATTGGGTGAAGTGGGAACAGGTTTGCAAAGGTAAAAAACAGGGTGGTTTGGGGGTTAAGGATTTGAGAAAATTTAATATAGCCCTATTAGGAAAATGGTGGGGGAGGATAGTCATGGAAGATAAAGGGCTCTGGAAAAAGGTTATTGCGGAGAAGTATGGTCGGGTAGGGGAACCAAGCTTCAATTGGTTGAGGGAGAACATGAATTTCGGCTCATCTTGGTGGAGGGATTTAAGTAGATTGAATGATATTGATCAAGAGAAGAAAGGATGGTTAGTGGATGGGCTGGAATTAAAACTAGGGGAAGGGGTAGACATTAGTTTCTGGTGGGACAAGTGGAGTGGGGATGGGTGTTTAGCTAACAAATATCCTAGACTTTACTTGTTATCTACAGGAAAGGACTATAAGATCTCACAAATGGGAGGTTGGCACAATGACATTTGGAAGTGGAGTCTACAATGGAGAAGGTCCTTATTTAGCTGGGAAGAACATCAGGAACTGGAGCTCTTAAAGGAGATTAACGAGAAAACAATTGCAAGAGGGAGACCAGATCAAAGGATATGGATTTACAGTAAAGATGGTTGTTATACAACCAAATCAGCATACCAGATACTTGCAGCAGAACACAGAAACAGCCAGCAGAGGTTGGCTCTACAAAAAGTATGGAATCCACTTATACCGAGTAAAATCTCAGCATTCTCTTGGCAATTGCTACAAGGTAAAATTCCAACCAAGGATAATCTGATGAAGAGAGGCGTGATTCAAGACCCAGGCGAGTGCAGATGTGAATTATGTGGTGCAGGGGAGGAGAATTCCAGCCACCTTTTTGTTCAGTGTAAAGTGGCACGTGATCTATGGACAGCTTGCTACAAATGGTGGGGAATTAAAACAGTAACTGATAGAGATTGCTGGAGATTTTTTGAACAACATTCCAGTATGCTGGAAACAGTGGGGGTGAAGCAAGGATGGGAATGTATATGGTTTGTAGTGATATGGACAATTTGGTTGGCTAGGAATGAAAAATTGTTTAGGGGGAAGGAGGTGGATAGTGGAAGGTTATTTGAACTGGTCCAAATCAGGGCCTTTAGCTGGATTAAGGGCAAAAGGAGAGGCTGCTTTTTCTCCATAGCTGATTGGATCCAGAATCCTGCAAATTGTTTGAGCATTAATCGCAACAGTAGAAGGTATCTCAAGAGAAAGCCACCTGAAATGGAGATGGAGCTGTGAGTGAAGGAGGCGAAGGAGATCAAGATTATGTAATCTGATTGGTTAATTATATTACTACTTGGTTGAAAAATCACTGTTGGATTAAGAAGGCTTCTTTGAGCAATTTTTGACTGCAGATTATGTGCCTGAAGCAATAATGGTCTTTGGGATTCTAATTGGTAGTCAAGGCATGCTCAGTGAAGGTGAGTGATAGTGGGGTGATAGCTGGAATGGTTTTCATGATCAGTATAGTGATTGATAAAGTTTTTGCATCAGAAGGTAGAAAGTTTGACACGGGTACAGTGCCGACACACTGGATCTGGTGTCGACACTATATTGCATGCACAGAAATTTCCGACACGGACGTGGTGTTGGCACATATTGCAGGGGTCGACACCATACGGAAGGGTTGGAAATTGTATGTCTTTCACATTGTCAAGTTTATGGGTTGGGGTACCCCTTGTACTCCATTTATTAATAAATAAATAATATTTTTTGCCGTTCAAAAAAAAAAAAAAACCAATTTAAAAGTATTTTGTGTGGTTTTTAATAAAAGATTGTAATTAATAATCCAAATAATCTAATGATAATTTTTTTAAAAAAATAAAATATTTTTAATTCAAGTGCAAAACGTACATGTAGAATAAATTAAAAAATAAAAAAATTATTTTTTATTATATAACAAAAACTTAATAAATAAATAAATAAGTAAAAGATTGCATGACACTAATCGTGCCCAACTTTGTGCCAGTCTCTACTCTTAACTGTCAGAACCGGCGTGGGCTAAATTGCCGCGCGAATGGAAATTAATTGATTCTTAGCCCAACATCGCGACTCTAACATTGCGACCATCACAAATTTGAGTTAATTTAAACTTCTTCAAGCTATATATATATATATGGCTTGAATATATAAATAAATAAATATATATATATATATATATATATAGCCAGGCACCAAGGTTTCAAGGATGATTAGGTAAGTGGCGCTTTTGATCCTTTTAATGATAACCAGGCAATTTGAAGGTCCATGAAAAGAAAGGGGAAAAGGGGAGGAGGGGGTGGGGAGGAATATATACTAATTAATAATCGGAAAAGAACAAACATCTTCTTTGTTTTACTCATAAAACAGTGCAACTAATGTGATGATGTTATGAAGAAAATTATTCCTGCCTGTGAAAGGCGACAAAGAAAAAGG